GCGCGTTTGCCGTCACCGCGGGCAAGTTCGCACTATGTCGACATATCCGCTTGTGAAGGAACCGAATGGAGGCGCCGCGCGGACAATGATTCCGCGGGCAAGGTGGGCATCTTCAAGGAAAATAGAACCGGCCTGAACGACAGCGAGGTGCCCGACCGCCCTGACGGCCCCCTCATCAGCCTAATCCCTAGCAGAAATGTGAGCAATCGCGTGGCCGAGGAAAGGGGCCCTGCAGATCATCGCCGAGATTGCGGCCGCGCAAGCGCCGCAGGTGACGATCCACCTGCTGGGCGACCGCCGCATCCAGCATGCTCGCCTGCCCGAGCAGCGGAGGGCAAAGTGACGGCCAACGACCAACGCGTCCAACGCAACGATATCCGACGTGGCCGACGCCGCGCGATGACGGCGACGCCGATCTGCGCGACAACGTTGTCGACGGCTAACGGATCTACACCTCGAGCCAAACGTGGGCCAGTCCACGAGGCGCCGCAATCCACCGGCGCTTCGACCAACGCGCCACAAACAACGGAGCACCACATCGGGCGACGACAGCACCTCGAGCAGACCTACAGCACCTCTGCCATTACGCCAGGATGCCCCATCCAAGCCACTGCCGAGGACGCCACCGCGTAACATCAGCGAGCCGAGGGCATGCCGCGGCAGCGGCTGTCGCGCAACAACCATCAAGTATAAGGCGCCAGCGATCAAAGTTGAAGCTTTGGCAAGACGTCACATCGGCACTCTACGCGAGTGAGCGAGGACGCCGACCGAACAATGACCTAAGGGGGGTGACGGTGGGATCTGGCCACGGCGAGCGACATCGAGGTCTCTCTCACCGCCCGCTCGACCTGCACCATCAGGCGCGTCCTTTACGATTTCCGCACTCCTCTCTTCAAGATTCGCGTCCGCATGATGACTTCTGCTCTGGCAGCCTGAACGAGGCTGCCGCGCGCGCGACCTGGAGCAGAGTGTTGACCGCGGCATTCGGTTCAAGTGCGATAAACAACATGAGCTATGTCGAGGCATCGCTAGACAGCGCCCTCAGGCACGACGGAGCGCGGGAAGCACGCTTGTCCGGGATGGCCCGCAAGCTGTTCCTGCTCGCCGTGCTGCGCCCCGCGTTCGCCGCGATGCTGACGTACCAGATCGGCGACAATTGCGACGTGCCCGCGCCGGCCGCGGCGTCCTATCAGCGCCGCAGCGCGTTCTTGCACATCGCGCCGGACAATCGCAATTTACCGTCGCGCGCTCCCGGGAAGACGCCGCCGCCGCATCGATCAGCAAGATCGACGAGCTGACGAAGTTCTTGGATCCCGGGGCACGCGCAGCTAACTCGGAGCACAATGGCGAACCGCAGGACGCAGCAGGCCAGCCACAAGCTGACGCCAGTCGGAAGCAACTCAACGCACGCACGGGCATCAATCCACATGCCGAGCCACAGCGCCATGACCTCACCGATGCCACTGCCGCAGTGCAAGACGAGAAGTCGACGCCCAGAAGCACCGTGGCCAGACTCAGCCGCATGGAAGCATCCCTCAGCCACTTCGCCGCGCAGCGCGGGCAACCCGACTCGCGCGGCTAGCTTGCCGCCCCAGCGAGGGCCTGACGCGCAGGCGCCCCCCCCCCCCCCTCCCCCCCGCCAGACTCGCGCGCGCAGTTGGCCTTGACTGGCGACGACTGCCAGCAGACGCCAGCAGCAATCCGCGCGACGACCGCCGACCATGACGCAGCGATGCCCGCCTACTACTCCAGCCCTGCCGACCGACCGGAAGAGGCAGCAGGAACGGCAACCGGCCCACAGGGGGGCGGGCGCGACGAGCCCCGCGGACCTGCGCGACCAGCAGGCCTGCCGCTCTCAGACGCCCACCGCGATCGGAGCAGAGACAGAATGGCAGCCGCGCCCTTCGCGCGAGGTCGCCGGCCAGCTCGAGCGCAACACTGCCGCGAATCAGGGCCCCCCTCTGGTCGCTCACAACGTGCGAGGCCTCGTGTGCCAGGATGGGGCACGCCGAACGGCGGCCCATCGACGCGGCGCCAGCTCCCCGCGTTTCAACGTTGCCCATTCTTGCCCCGCGGCAGAAAAGCAGACAGCGCCAGCATCTCCGTTCCTTTTTCGCGTCTCGGCACTGCGTCGTACCAAATCGCACGCGCTCACTGGCATCCCCCCCGCGGCAGCGCAGTTGGTCGCGTCGCGCATCTTGCAACTCCAGAGGCGTCGGCGCGCGGCGCGGGAAACTGGCCACGCAGCACGGCGCGCGGCGAGAACGCCGACAGCAGCTATGCTATGTTGTGGGCCCCCAAGGGGATCTTCCCCTTCGCGCGCTCCGATGCCTGACGTAATCGCGCGGGCCCTATGCGGGGCGCTCTCTCCCGCGGGAGATGTCAGCGGGCCCCCGCGGGGGGTCCCAGGCGCGGCGCTCAGCGCGGGGGCCTTTGCCGACCTCCAACCTTCACTCTCTCACGGCCCACCGTCTTGCAGCCCGCTTCCCCCGATTTTCCACGCCGACGTCTCGCCGCCCCTCGTCGCTCGGCAGCGGGGCCGGGCGGTTCACCGGCGGGGGGGAATTAGGGCGTTGGCCACAGGCCGCCCTCGCAAGGGCCCGGGCGGCCGCGGGCGCGTCGCAGCCCGCCGCCGCGTCGCCCGCGCGCCACGCCGCGCAACGCAGCCAACGTTGAATTCTGAATTCGCGGCGTTTACGCAGCATCGGACAGGCAGGATCCGCGTGGCAGATAGCGCAATACAGACCACACTTCAGGCATGCCGCAATTTCTCAGCTTCCTCCTCATCTGCCTCATCTTTCGCCTCCTTACCTCGTTGCCGACACCCCCTGCCATGCATGGCCATCAGACCAAACTACCGCCCGGCAGAAACACGCACTTCCCCCCGCGCTCGGTGGACCCCCTTCCCAGCCTCCCCCCCCCCCAGGCAGCCCTCGAGTTAACGCGCTGGGAGCCTTGCACCTGCTGGCAGGCGAGGGGTCCCGCCGCTGACCTGGCGGGCGCCAGTTGGGGGCTTCCCGCGAGCAGGGGGGAGAGGCCCTTGCGCCCCCAACTCTGGCGAGATTGGACCGCTGTCAGCGTCGCTAAGTGGCGGAGTGGCTACCACTGCGGGCTGGCAAGAACAGTGCCGCCACAATGGCAAGTCCACGTTGGCTGCGAGCAACCTGCCCGAGCAGGCAAAAGTGGCAAGGAACCGACGCATCATTCTTTCACTTCCTCTGTCGAGTTGCAACGCTGCCCACGTCCGCGTCTGTCCGGTGGCACAGTTGCCGCCGCGCTCTTTTCCCGTCAATTGTCGCCGCGTGTATAATTTGTTGTTTGGCTATTCGCCTCGTTGCCCATCGCGAACATGCCCTTTCCACGGCATGCCATCTACGGCCCGCGTTCAGATTGACCATCACTCCAGACCACCGCGGACAGGACGCACGACTCTCTCCACGCTCGGTGGAACTCGCCCAGGCGGCCGCCAAGTTAACGCGCTGGGAGCGCTACGCCTGCTGGCAGGCGTGGGGCCCCGTCGGTGATCTGGGGGGCGCCTGCGGGGCTTCCCATGAGCAGGGGGGAAGGTTCTTGCGCCTCCCATTTTGGTGGGAGGCGGTCGCTGTCACCGTCATTTGGGGATGGGGCGGGCGTCGATTCAGCCGGCTCGAACGAGCCGGAGGGCTCCGTCCACCCCCACCCGCCCTCCCACAACATACGAAGCAAGTGCGTCGCGCCCGGCGCTCGTCGCTCATCCTATTCCGCGGGCGGCTAGACGCTCGGACACGACATTGGGCGCGCTGGCGGCGATCCGCACTTGCTTGAGGCATTGTGACTTGCCGCCCGCCCAGCTCCTCTACCCGACGGGCCGCAGCGTCGACGGCAAGAAAGTCCATGTTGACGAGCAGGTGCCCCCGCGCGATGCGCGCCGCATCCCATTCACGCTGCGCGATTCGTAGCGCCGACGAGGAGAAAGTATACGTTGGCAAGAAAAGCGTCTTCGACGGGGGGCCCCGCGGAGGGTTGGCCAACCGTCCGCGCGCAATGCTTGCCGCGTCCCATTCCTGCTACATGTTTCTCAACGTCGACGGCAAGAAAGTCCACGTTGTCGAGAAGCACGTTGACTTCGTATTGTCTTGTGATACGTAGATCTCGACCACCCGCTCAGGGTTAGTCAAGCGATGCTCATTCCGTCAAATTCTGGCTACACCTTTCGCAGCGTCGACGACAAGAAAGTCCACGTCGTCGAGAAAAAAACGCTGACTTTGCATGTATTGGATAGGTCGGGCGCGACCACCCGCTTAGGGTTTACCAAGCGATGTTCATCCTGCTTCATTCCTGCTACAATTTTCGCAACTCGGCGACATGCTGGTGAGAAGAGTTGAGTTTGGATTATTTTTCTTCCAGTTAGGACGGCAGGGTTGCCATCGGCCGGCTAGGTGGGGGTTTGGGGTTTCGGTGGGGATTTGGGAATGTTGCATCAGTCGTGGTGGTTTGATCAAGGACCGGCGAGACGTTGGCTGCTATGGTGCAGGCCATGGTGGCTGCAGGCAACCCACTGGAGTGGGCAACGGTGGCCACGAGTCGACACGCTGTTGGCAAACATTACCCACAGTCATGTCCTTACGGTATCGCAGCTATCGCCGCGCGATCTTACTGTCAAGTATCGCCGCCGACCATTGCTTGTTTTCATTACTTACTTTTCCTCCTCCTCCTCCTCCTCCTCCTCTTCCAGTTTTTCTCATCGACTCCAGTCTGCCATTAAAGCTCACTGTTTAACTGTTACCACACCGCTGGTGACACTTGGGGCGGCGCTCCAGTGGTCAGTCACGCGGCTCTAGTTTGATCCCCCCTTCCAAGGCCGACCGGCCCTGGGGGGGGGACTTGCATCTAGAGGGTCTTGCGACCATCGGGAATCAGGACTCCGCCGGGGGTCGTCGTCGTCGTCGCCGTCTTCGTCGTCGTCGCAGCGCTGATCGTGCACGGGCCACGACCCGCTTGCGCCCGCATGCGCGCGCCAGGCGGGCGAGGGTGCCGCTGGCGGGCGGCAGGCCGCCGAGGGGGCCCAGACCGCCGAGGCCAGTCGACGACGACGACGACGACGGCGAACACAACGACGACGAAAAGGGGGCAGAGGGGCAAGGGGGAGGAGGATGGGGATGGATGAGGAGGGGGAGGGAGATGGAGGAGGGGGAGGAGGAGCAGGAAGAGGAGGAGGAGGAGGAGGAGGAGGAGGAAGAGGAGACATGGCATTTCATGGCAGTGGCCTGCGGTGCCTGCGGGAGGAGGAGGAGGAGGAGGAGGAGGAGGAGGAGGAGGAGGAGGAGGAGGATCTAGGCCTCCTAGATGGGGTCGGAATAGATGCGGTCGGAGGATCTTGCCGCATCGCCGATGCATGGACGACGCGGCTCAATGCGGAACCCGATTTTCTCCACGCACGTGTCGCCGATGCATCGCCGACGTCGACGATGCATCGCTGGTGCATCACCGATGCATCGCCAATGCATCGCCGACGTATCGGCGATGCGGCTCGATTTTCCCACACTGTCCACTTCGACCCCAGGAGGAGGGGGAGGAGGACGGGGAGGATGTGGAAGAGGATGTGGAGGAAAACGGGGGGCAGGGGGAGAGGGAGGAGGAGGAGGACGGAGCAGGAGGAGGTGATGAGGAGTGGGGATGACGGGGCAGGAGGGGGAGGAAGGAAGGAAGCAAAAGGGGAAGAAATGATGAGGAGGAGGCGGAGCAGGAGGAAGAGGAGGAGGAGGAGGAGGAGGAGGAGGAGGAGGAGGAGGAGGAGGGGGAAGAGGAGGCACGGGGATGGGGTGGGAGGAAAGGGATGAGGGGAGTCGACACTCAGGACTCGGGACGTGGCGAGGCCCACACGTGAGGGCCAAATCCCCGAAGAGAGCGGCACGACGACAGGGTGAACCAGACAGGTGCCCGCCTGCTTTGTCAGGCATGGGCGCGGCTGTAGAGCCTGGGCGGCGATCGCGAAGTTGGTTCGATGAGGGACCTGGAGGTTGCATTCCCGACCAGCCACAACACACAGACAGACAGGATATCTACCAAACCACATAACACAGCGGTGTGCGCGTATTCGAATTGCGGGGATCCACATCGAGGCCCGTTCTCGCATAAACCGTGATTGCCCCCGAGGCAAGCATTTGTTCGAGATCCATGCCATTCATGGACTTGGTGAACCGACACTTCGTAATGTGAGTTCTGGCCCGCTTGGGATTTCTGTTGCACTTCCTGCACAATTGTGGCACTGGCATAACCGCACGCTCGACAACACATAAGGGCCGCAGTATCTGCGCTCATGGCAATCGCCTTATGCTTGTTGTTTCGTTTTATGTATAATTTATATGTTTTAGTTGTTCCACATTTTTTGCTGGTAAAACAAAAAAACCGCGCAAGTTTATGACCCTGTAAACCAACAAGAGGGGGTGCTCGCAAACCCCCTCCCCCCTCTCCCCCTTCAAGGGGGGGTGAGATTTTCGACCCCCCCCTCCCTCCCCCTCCCCTCCTTGATGGGGGGGGGTGGTTCCGATCCCCCACCCCCCCCTTAAAGGGGGTGGGGGCGGACCCCCCCCCTCTTCCCCCCCTTGGCGCTGGAGGGGGGGAGGGGTTCGAACCCCCCCCCCTCCCCCCCCTCTGAACAGGGAGCCGGGGAGGGGGCCTCTCCCGCAAGGGGGGGGCGTTTGGCCTCGATATAGTGAGTAGTAAGTAGTGAGTAGTGAGTAATGAGTAGTGGGTAGTGAGTAGATTGTAGCGAGTGATGAGTGAGTAGTGAGTAATGAGTAGGGAGTAGTTCGCAGTGAGTAGTGAGAAATGAGTAGTGAGTAGTGGGGAGCGGGGAGTCGGTAGTGAGTACTGAGTAGCGAGTAGGGAGTAGCAAGTAGTGAATAGTGAGTAGCGAGTCGGGCATTGTGAGTAGTGAGTAGTGAGGGGGGAGGCTAGTCAGTACTGAGAAGGGAGTAGAGAGTAGCGAGTAGCGATTAGGGAGTAGCGAGTAGTGAGTAGTGAGTAGTGAATAGTTTGTAGTGGGAAGTGGGTAGTGAGTAGTGAGTATCGAGTAGGGAGTAGCGAGTAGTTCATAGTGAGTAGCGAGTAGGGCATTGTGAGTAGTGCGTGCTAAGGGGGGAGTAGTCCGTAGTGAGCAGGGAGCAGTGGGGAGCAGCGAGTAGTGAGTAGGGAGTAGTGCGTAGTGGGAAGTGGGTCGTGGGAAGTGAGAAGTGGGCAGTGAGTAGTGGGTAGTGCGTAGGGAGAATCGAGTAGAGAGTAGTGAGTAGTGAGTAGCGGGCCGAGAGTAGTGAGTAGTGAACGGTCAGTAGTTCATAGTGACGTGCCACTAATGATTAGTGAGTAGGGAGTAGGGAGTAGTGAGTAGTGAGTATCGACTAGTGGGTAGTGCGTAGTGGGTCGTGAATATTGCGTATCGGGTAGCGAGTAGCGAATAGTGAGTAGTGAGTAGTGAGCAGTGAGTACTGTGTAAGAAGCAGGGAGTAGCGAGCAGGGAGCAGCGGATCGTGATTAGTGAGTTGTGGGCAGTGAGTATTGAGTAGTGAATTGTGAGTACTCAGTAGTGAGTAGTGGTCAATGGGCAGTGAGTAGTGTCTATTTAGTAGTGAGTAGTGGGTGGTGAGCAGTGTTGAGTGAGTAGAGAGTAGAGTGAGTAGTGGGTTGTGGGTAGTGGGTAGTGCGTAGTGAATCGTGATTCGTGAATAGTGAGCAGTGCGTAGTGAGAAGTGAGTAGTGAGTAGTGAATAGTGAAAGCGGGTCGTGATCAGTAAATCATGAGTGTTGAATGCTGTTTGGGGCTAAGGTTAGGGTTTGGTGTTCGGGTTGTGGGTGGTCGGGGTGGTAGCGTTAGGGGTGGCAGGGGTCGGGTTCCGGAACCAGGGGGCGCCGTGGCGAAAGGGGGGGGAAAGTGGGGGGGGGTCGACTTTGGCAACTACATGCAGGGAAGGGGGCGGGGTCGGACCCCCCCCTTCCCCTTTTGAAAGGAGGGGGGGGCGGGTCCCCGACGACGGACCGGGAAAGAGGGGGAGGGGGAGGGCGCTTCCCGACGACGGACCGGGAAAGGGGGGAGAGGGGCGGGGGGGGTCCCGACGGCGAATCGGGGAAAGGCCCCCCTGCCCCCACTGGGGCCATCCAGCGGCGCGCCCTCTTTACATTCTGCGCGCGATAACTTCATGGAGCGATTAGCTACATAAGCCATGTGCTCCACACTTCGCCAACATTGTGACGACAGAAATGATACGGTTTTCTCGAGTCAGGACAGAGCTCCCATTTACGCGGATTACAGAAATCAACTCTGTGTCGCGCAGCTCCACGTTCAGCACACTTATCAGCGTCTGCATGAGCACCCTCGTGATTATGGATACGCTGTGATCCACATTCGTACACATTTGGTAATCCTCGATCCTTTTCCTCGTCGTCGACCCTCCATTATTTGTTTCATCGATCCGCCTCGGTCCTCGATCGTCCCCCTCGGCCCACCTCGATCCTCGGTTATCCTCTCCCCCCGATCCTCGATATTCCTCCTCTCTGGATCAGGACTTGCATGTAAGAGACAGTGTTCATGGGTGACAGACGCGGATCAGGGGAAGGATGAAGATCAGAACATGGCTTTTTGTTGGGATCAGGGAGAAAAGGGTCCCGAGTTGGTTTTTGGGACTGGATGCTCAAAAGAAAGAGGTTCGCGTCAGAGACTTCTTCATACATCGCTCGAAAGGGAGGCCCTTGCGATTGGACCTCCCAACATGTTCACAAACGCGTAACAGGCATCCCGAAGGTGACCTCAGGATCTGGGGAAGCATCCAATGAATCTGCCAGGATCCCCCGGGAGAGATGGAAGGTTTGATTTTACCGCTGCTGCAACGAAGTGTTGCTCGGGGAAATCATATCTCGCACTGTGGTCAACATTGTCCTCCTCCCCCTTCTCCTCCTCATCGTCCTCCTCCTCTTCCTCCTTTTCAAGCCCCCCCCCCCCACCGTGTCGCCTCCTTCTCCCCCTCCTGCCCCTCCCCCCCTCCTCCCTCCTTCTTCTTTCCCTCCGCCTCCCCCTCTTCCTCCACTTTCTCCTCCTCCTTCTCCTCCTCTTGCTCCTCTGCGCGGCCAGTTCGGCCTGGGATGCAAGGCCGCCAGATAGATTCCTGCCCCTGGCCGCTGCCGCTTTCGGCCAGGGAGTATTCGAGCGACCGCGGGCCGACAGGCGGCCCCCCTGTCACGCCCGCTCGGGGGCAAGGTCCAGCTGGGTCCTCGTCCACCAGCCGCTCGGTGGCGACGTTGGGACCGTCAGTGGCTCGATGTTTCGAGGCTTCGAGGTCCGAGTCTCGAGGTCTCCAGGCGTTCTCGTGGGGTATCGGCGGTCTTCCAGCCTCAGTTTGCTCTCCAGCAGCTGCGCCTCGCCGAGAGCTCTGGGGGGTGCCCGGATCGTCCCAATTTCATTACGTCCCTGGCCCCCCCTTGGGCCGCGCACTTCGTCGGCCATGATTTGCACCCCCCCCCTCTTGCACGCCCCCCTCTTGGCCGCCCCCGAGAGATGTGGTCGACCCGAAAGCAAACGGGCAACGAAAGAGGGGGGGATACTTAGGCGGATATGCTCAGGGGAGGATGCATCGACCCGCAATCATCGCCGATAGGGGCCGATAGCCCCACCCTGCCTTCCAGGAACCTCAGCCATGTGGACCTGGCGCGGGCACTGCGACAGGAACTGCGCTCGGTTGGCTGCAGTGGTTGATGCTCCTAGGCGTCGCGGTGGTGACGGTGATGAGCCTACTGGAGGTGCCGCGGCCCCTGCAGGTTTGGCAGTTTGACCGCCGAGACCACTCAGGCATTGGAGGTCTTCAGACGCCAAGCTCGCGGATAGGGTCAAGCGGACCATGGCCGACCGCCATGCCCCAGCTCAGCTGGCCGCAGCTCAACTGAGCGGGGGGCTGGGCCGAGCTTGGAGAAGTGCAAGGTCCGTGATACGCTTCGGTGAGAGACAAGGCGACCAGGCCCTGGTCAATACACGCTCAGTGTTGTCTTGGGCTGCATGGCGAGCAGCTGACATGCAGGCCGAACGTCGGGCCGACCAGGCCGGCGCGCTTGTTCGGCAACTCACGTAAAGGTTGATTTGGTGTAGCTTTCTCCCTCTTCGTCCCCCCCTCCCTCCATCCTCAGCCTGTCACCGTCGCCGTCGTCGTTGTCGCCGCCGCTGCCAGCGTCGCCGCCGTCGTCGCCGCCGTCATCGCCGTCATCGCCGTCATCGCCGTCGTCGCCACCGCCGTCGCCGACGTCGCCGTCGCTGCCACCGTCCCCGCCGCCGCCCCCGTCGGCGCCTTCGCCAGCACCGCTGCCGCCGTCATCGCTGCCACTGTAATCGTCGTCGTCGTCGTAGCTGTCGCCTGCGTCGTCTTCGTTTTCCGCCACACGCAGCCGCCGCGAGAAAGAGCGCGAGGAGGAGCCAGCGCCACCCGCGGCCCGGCCGGAGCTATCGCCGTGGGCGGAGGCCGCGGCGCCCCGCGGGCCGCGGGTCGCGCGCGGGTTCGTCGTCGGTTGTCGGTCGGCGGTCATCGTCTGGCGTCGTCGGTGGCGTCGGTCGTCGGCGGCGTCGGTCGTCGGCTGCCACTGCCGTCTCAGGTCGTCGCTGGTCGTCGCCAGTATCAGCCTGGTTGCCCCATCTAGCGGGGTTGACGAATATTGCGATCAATGCGCTCGCGCCAGAGGGCGTTGCGGGAGCGCGAAGAAGATGGCCGTGCGTCGCGCTTCTCTTTTTCGCAAGTGGCAGTCTAGGAAGCACGGTTGACAGCGTGGTTGGCGGGGACACTTGGTCCTTAGTGAAGGATAAAGAAGAGGGAGGAACTGGAGGAGGAAGAAGGGGGAGGAGGAGGAGGACAAGTGGAGGATGAGGAGGCTACATTATACCATACGATACATGGCTGTACTGCTCCATAGCATACCTGATGCATACCTCACCATACGATGCAGTATTATATGGCGATCCTGTGTTACAGTATCCTACTCAGTTATACACGTAGCACCCCGCAGTTGCGGATAAGAGTGAGGGGGCGGGCGGCAGAGTCGTCGGCAGGCTGCGAGGCTCCGAAGAAGCCCGCCGCAGGCGCCGATGTTTCACACATGTTCTACAACTAGCCCGCCCCAGGCGCCGAATTTCTGTTCGCGGCTGGGTCGCGGGGTGTGTCGCGGCTGGGTCGCGGGGTCGGTCGGGGGTGGGTCGCGGCTGGATCGCGGCTGGGTCGCGGCTGGGTCGCGGGCTGGGTCGCGGTCCGGGTCGCGGGCCGGGTCTCCTGCCTTAACAAGATACACTCGCCGTTCGGGCGGGTGGATTTACCTAGCGAAGCAATTTCGCCAACATCAGACGGTAATGCGCGTCCGAAAGGGCTGCGCGGATCCGTAAGAAAAAGGAGGAGGACCAGGAGGACGAGGAGGGGCGAAAGAATACGGATGAGGAGGAAAGGGAAGCCGACGGCGACGATAAGGATAACCCATGGACCCATGAATGAGGAGGGTGGGCAGCAGTGTGATCGCGAGGAGTAGCAGGGAAGACGAACCACGGTGAGGGGGGAGGGTGCTCATGATGCCGAAGTAGGTCTAGGCGATATCTTGACGTTGCGTCTTTGTTCATGGATGGGGCGCTCTCGGGTGCCAGGCATGCAACCAACAAAAAAACGGCTGGTCGCACATTGGGCGCCTACAACAACATGCCACTAACAATCACCAAGCAAACGGCATGCAACTAGCACACTAGCATACACCATGCAACTAGCAAACGGCATGCAACTAGCAAACAACATCCAACACGCAACTAGCAAACAACAAGCAAACGACATGCAATTAGCAAACAACAGGCAAACCTACAACATGCAACACAAAAGGAAACGGCATGCAACTAACAAACAGCAGCAACAACTACCACGCCACCAAACACACGACACGCAACGTCAACACCATTCGCACTCTAGGAACGTATCCGTAGTGTTGTAGAGGTGGATGTTGGCAGATTTTCGGAGGGGCGGTCTTCACGCTTCTGGCGCGCGTTGCCATTTAGTTTTGATGCGCTTGCGTTGGGGCCCCATATGCGTTGTTCAGTCCGTGATGTTCCTGGTTGATGTTTGATTTGATATAGGTTCTTATGGCCTCGTTTTTTGTAGAAGAGGGGTGAGCCAGCACAAACCAATTACACCAGGTGAAATCGGCAACCCATGGGCTCGTGGCTCTCTGGAGGACCCCATGCGCGTGGAGGGTCAACTGACCCCTTTCTCAGACTGCAAAGCCAGCACGATGCCCCCCTGAACCATCCAGTTTACCAGGCGGCCCTGGCATTCGCAGTTGCGTCGCCGACGCAACTGCGAATGGGATCCCTTGTTTCCGTAGCCATTTTGGCCCAGGGGAGTTTGCTTCCGCCAGGCGTGTTCTCGCGCCGTGTCCCCACGGCGAACCTGAGCACCAACATGGTCCTCTCGAAGTTCGCCACGCCCTCCAAAGATAAGCAGGCGTCGACCAAGAAACGCTCGGCAACATCCGGCAGCCCGTCAGCTAGCAGCCCTGGCGGTGCAAAAGTTACCTGGGCCATGGTTGTCAAAGAGAAAACGAAATTCGACAAGCAGTGCGCTCAAGATTCCTCCACATCGAAGCTGCCGCAAGTATTTGCCACCGTGTGCATGGAGCTGCTGGCATCGCCAGCAAAGTTGTTGCCGACACTTCACGCCGTGCAGGGTGATGATATGTGCCGTGGGCCCGTTCTCAAGAAGTCCAAGTCGAGCAAGGCCGTCGACGACGACATCGACGAGCTGTGGGCCGACATGGAGAAACTCAGCCAGTTGCCAAAATACTGGGTGTGGGAAGTGGTCCATGCGAAAGATCCGAGCTATTTCAGCAGCACCGCAATCAAGATTATCGATAAGAAACACAGGGACAACTTCAGGAGGCTCCTCGAATGTCTTACTGGATTGAGGTCTACATACAAAATCTTCGAGGAGATGAAAAACAAGAAGCTCACCGCCCGCGTCGTTGAAGTCCTGTACGTTGCGTTTGGTTCTCGCTGGCCGTCGTTTCGAGTTCTATTTCCTAACCCTGCTGATTTGACTTGGAAGTTTCTCGGGGTGTACAGGTACGGCGAGCCAAACGAGAACGGCAAGATTTCGGACTTGATTCATATTTCTGGTGCTCGTGCGACGGTGCCGAAGAACATGACTGTCAACTCAGAATGGTATTTCACGAACAACTGGAGCGACAGGTTTGCGCAGGGGACCGACGGGGATTCGGTCTTCACTTGTTTCACCCGATTCAGTGGCGAGGCTGACCAGCCGTGGTATCAGTTCGCCGAAAGCCCATCGAGCCAGTTGAAGCACTACGTCCAGAAGGTCAGCACTGATCTCGACGAGGAGTTTGCGAAGACCTTGTCCACCGACGTGAAGATTTCAGATACTATCAAGGAGGTACAGAAGGACTCGAGGCGCAGGCACGGGAAGGGCCCCCCTGAGTACGCCATGCCTGCTAGCCTTGAGGCTCGGCCAACGAGCTTCACTGCGCCAGAGCAGACTGGCCATCAGTGTGAGCTGGATTGAGTCATTTCCCTCTTGCCCCAGCCCACCACCACTTCAAAGCCCAGGCTCACTGGGCGCTCTTTTGAGCAGCAGCTTTTCTTTGAATTTGAGCGGCGATAGAGCTGATGTGGTGTCTGTCACAGAGCTCTTGTGGCCTGGCTTCGAGGGCAATGCGAGAGCGAAACTCCATCGGAAACCTACCCATATGTTTTCATTTGTTGCATGCTGCGTGCCCTCGAGGCCAGTGCACGATCCGATGTCCGCTCGGGTATCAGCGTTATGGCTTGCGAAAGCGTGGGGTTGCCATCAACGTTCAGACAAGATTTCCACATTGCGTATCCCATCGAGCCATCGAAGCATCGTTGATCGAGTTCTTGCTTGCTGCTGTTGCCGACGATTGTGAAGAGCGACGGTTGCGATCGGCGTCGGCGGCGACTTCGACGACGACGACGACGACGACGAGGACGACGACGATGACGTCGACGTCGACGCCGATCGCAACCGTCGCCCTTCTCCAGTCGATTGCCGTCGCCGACGCTGATCCTCCTCGTCGCCCACTTCGTCCCCCACCGTCTCGCCTTTCGTCGCTTGCACGTCAGCAGTCGAGGTCAGCGGGCAAGCTGGCAACCTCGCTCGCAGCGAGGCGGACGGCGTGCAAGGAGAGAACATAGATCCCCCATGTAAAAAGCCCCTCTCGCTGTCGGTTCGGAGGGGGTCTCGAGGGGGGCGAGCGACGGTGGGGGGAAGTTTGGGGGCGGCGGAGCTCCGCTCGGTTCTGCCCTCGCCCTTCCACCAACTCCCTCTTCCGTCATAGCAGCGCAGGCTCTTAGCGCAGCCTGTGCGCGTCGACCTCGAGGCGACCTCGGCTCAGTCGCCTGGCGATGGAGGTCGACGAGGGCGTCCTGGCCCCCCTGGGAGACCAGGGCGCGGGCGCTGCAGCGGGCGACGGTGACGGTGACATCGGCGACGGTGAGTCAGCGCCCCAGGCCGCCATTGCAGTCGGCGCGGCTGGCGATGCACACGGCGTGCAGGTGGCGCACAACGGCATCGTCGAGCTCTGGATCGACCCTGGCAAGAAGCATCACTATTTGAAGAATCAGCTGACCCACGAGACCGTGAAGATACTGGCCCCACCAGCGGGCACGGATTATTGGGTCATTGATTTGAAGGACAACTACGCCTACATCGATAGCCCAGACGAGTCGCACTGGGTGATTCTGCTCCGGAACGAAATATCCATGCCAAAAAAAAACCTGCCACCTGCTACCTGCCCAAAATCCATGCCCAAGTAAAGTTTGGAGGCGTTCCGTTTTCTGCCCGCCTGAGCAGGCGGGCAGAAAACGGAACGCCGTTCCAAAATTGGTCCGTCTGGCCCCCTTGAGCCAAAATGGCTTCAGCCAAAATCGTTACGGAAGAGACGGAGGAAGTGGCGCCGACTGTTTTTTTGAACACTTCGGCCTACTGACCCTTAGGCAGTCTTTTTTCGGTGGCATGTTTTTTCTGACCGTCTCTAGGTGACGGAGTTCTTCAAGCACAACGCCTTCGTGTCAGACCAGGGCCAGACGTTCGTCAAGTCCACGGACAGCGACTCCCCAGAGTGGATCGAGAATTTCTTAGGCATGCACAGGGTCGACGAGTTCGCTTTCGCACACCCCGCTGGGACGCAGACCACCAGGTACATGATGGTCGCTGTGTGGGAGAATGCTCAGTATGATTCGTCGGTGTGGATTTCTCTTTGGAGCGTGTTCGACATGCTTTGTCTCCATGTCAACGTGAGCGGGGGCTCTTGGTTCGCGAACCGTCGGGACGCATGGGAGCGGTGCTTGTGCGCGTGGCAGCTTCGTCACCACCTTCGCCAGAGCAGCCCGTACGCGAACAAGAGAGCGGCACTGTCGAGTGAGGAGCTCGCGATGCGCATCCTGAAGTTCCCGTCGGTCAGCGTGGTCGGCATGATGTGCTTGATGATTCAGTGGGGGTCGGAGAATCAAAGTTCGCGCTTCAAGTCCGACACAGATCGCGCTTCGGCTAACGACTTGTTTGACAGCTTCGCTTACATGATCCAGAACGGCAGCATCAGGGTCAACGTCGACGGCTTCGCTTGGAGGTGCGGCCCCGACATTGCAGGCGTGCGGCCCATGGTCGTACTCATCAAGGCTGGAAGGTTTGAACGAAAGTCTTTCAACGCCGTTGTCGAGTCCTTCTTCAACGAGTACGGTACGCCAGTGAGCTGGGAAGATGCTGGCGTCTGGGATAAGCGCGAGGAGGGCGAGGACTTCAAGCCGTCTGACGTCATTCAGAAGATCCTCACTGGCAACAGGGACGCCAAGCTTGCAATGCAGCTCGTCTGGGGCCTAGGCAACCTCGTCGACGCGAAGATCGCCAAGGCCAAGGGCAAGGATGTCGAGCTGGCCCCCGACTTCAGGTACGATTTCTCGGACGATCTTGACGCTCAGCCCGACTCCAGCGTAGACGTTGCGGTATCTGGCAACCACGGCGCTGCGCAGGTGATCATGCGGTACCTCAAGGTCAGCAAGCGCACCATGATCGACAGCATGAACCTCGGTTTCGTCATGGACGCTTCCACGCCAGACCACCAGAAGAAGTTCTACGGCGCTGTGTTCAAGCCGAACAACACAGTGGCCATTTGCCCACCGCAGGTGTTGCGGGCAAGCTGGGATTCCCAGGTAGATCGGCGATCCTGATCCTGGTAGTTTCAGGGGGGGGGGAGCTCCGGATATCCTTGGGTCCTCCGAGGCTCTGGCTCGAGACATTGGCACATCAAGGGGAACGTATGCCAGGAATATCCTGGTAAATTCAGGTATCGGATCCTGGTTCGTCGGGCTCCTTCTCCAGGTGGGGTCCCGCTTGGGTCTTAGGGGTCCGTTCGGTTCGATCGACAGTCTGGAAGTCGCGATTGCAGGGCAGCTGCGAGCGATCGGGATGCGACCGAGACAGACCCTCAGGTGAGCTCAGTCTACAGCGGCAGGCAGATGTACGACAGCGAGAGCACGGCATTGGCGGTGCAGACGTACGAGAATACCCACATCGAGCGGGCCAGGGAGCTTCTGGGCATCAAGTGCAACTCCTCTGAGTTGCCACGGATGGAAAAGGTCAAGCGCAGGTGCAGATTGGACTCCTTCATGGCTGGGAAGGCTCTTCACAACATGCGCCTCGTGAGCGTCGGCGAGGGCCTTGGGGCAGTCAAGATCACATTAGAACAGTACCACCAGATGAAGGACTGCTACGATTGGAAGTGCGATCACTTGTGCTCCGACCAGGGCCCCGACATGAAGTGCCTGAAGTGGTTCTTACAGAGCTCGGAGGGCCTGTTCAATGTTGACGACGACGATGATCTGGCACACGGCATCGACAACGATTTCAACATAGCTGGCAAGAAGTGCGGTCTGTGGGCATTTCGGAGGCTTCAGAGGTTGGCGAGGAACGCAATCTATGGCCCCTTCGACGAGGGCAGGAGGTTCAAGGAGTTAAAGGACATCGCGAAGGAGGTGAAGACGTTCGTCAGCCCTCTCAAGTGCCCGATATTTTGCGAGGCGTTGCCTGCCATCCTCGAGGAGATGGGAGAGCCCGCGCGCATTATGGAGAATGGCATCGAGGAGGAGGTGTGGAATGGCATGACCGAAGTCGGCTTCGGCGAGGTGGCTGGCAGGAAGGACAACCCCGCCAGGTGGCTTGGCGACCATTATGCTTCTCGCATCGACCGCGATCAGTTCACGATGCGCGCCGTCTGCTTCTCTTACGCGGTCATGGTGCGCGAGCAGTCGAGCACGAAGAAGCTCGGAGTCAAGATGAAGGAGCTGTGCAGCGAACCGAACAAGCACGGGGGCAACGACCAGGCCGCGAGCATGAAGTCGGTGGCCGCCGAGCTGAAGCGCGTGAGGATGGCCACGCGGGACCAAGTGGAGGTTGCGATCGTCTACTACAACAACAAGCAGAACAAGAACATCGACGGGGCGACATTCGCCATCCGCGAGCCGTGGGCTCAATGGCATAGCCACAACAAGTGGCACCTCAGGGATCTCACGAACGTCACGGACTGGGAGGTGGACCAAATCGTCAACGGGAAGCTCCTCAAAGTTTTTGTGGAATCCATGTCTGTACCGTTCGATGGCAAGGGGATGATGGCTTACCTCGGCTTCGCTGTGGATCACAGCCATGTCAACGTGAACGAAGTGTCCGCGTCCCACCCGCTTCTGAAGATCGAGGGTGACATGGCCGAGTTGATCGGCACTTACTCCCTCGTCCTGAACGCTTGTCGCTTCAAGAGGCTCTTCAAGTTGATGAGGGGCTGGCCCAAGCACTTGGTGGCGGCCCTCGGTGACCTCGCTTCCCAGGACAGGGTCTTCGCCCTCTCCAAGCAAGACTACGAGAACTGGAAGGCACTCGGCGACGACACGGTTGGCATCAGGGCTCTGTCGGGGATTATGGTGTTGAGCGAGAGCCCATCATCCATTGGGCCCTCCCCCTGCGACAAACAATTTCCAGTTTTTGTTTCACGTGTGCTGTGAGTTTGGCAGCTGTCTGCAGTTATCTCCTCGGATTGCACTAACCTTCGGTTCTCCGGCTCACACAACCTTCGACCCTCCAGAAGGATCGACGCCAGTTTGTTCAGGGGGGCCGTGCCGACCAGAGGTAGTAGGCCGAAGGGGGGGGGGGGGGGTGCGTGAAGGCCCCGAATACTGGTTTCCAAAACACCCCCCCCCTAAGGACCGTTAGGGGGGGGGGGTGAAACAGGGCCTTAAAACACGGACAAGGGCGCAGCGTCGATATGACTTCTAAGGGCCCCTGAAATCACATCGCCCTCTGGCCGCGCAAGCGGCCTAAATCTCGAGCTCCCTGAGAATGCCCGTTAGCAAACACGCGCCCGCCCCGAGGCTCGCTTGAAGAAGAGCTCGCCTTTCAACCTCGTTCCAGTTCGGCAGCATCTCGGCATTCTTATCGAATCGGGGTTCCAGAGGACCTCGAGGTACATGGAGTTCCTCAGCGAGAATCGGACGAGGCCACTGCTGTCCCAGATCGCCGAGGATTGCTTCTGCAGGTCAGCCAAGGACATTCAGCACGCCTTGGGCCAAGACCGAGGGATCGACAGAGATTTCGCGAACTTGATCGTGAAGGATGTCGTCTCGAAAGTTCACCGCCACAAGGACATCAATTGGAAGTTCGAGCCGCTCGTCAGAAACCCCAGGATCCCCAAAGAGGTGTATCAGAACACGCCCGACGACGTGAAGGCGATCGGCCTCCAGAACATCATTGGCCCCAACCAGTCTCCGAAGTGGTCCAACCAGAGCGTTGCCAACGACTCCAAGCCGACTTTCGAGATGGACATGCTGGAGTTCTGCAGGGCCAGCGGCGTCAACGTCTCCACCGCAGAGAAGCACTGGTACTGCGCCTTGGCGAAGCAGGGCAAGGTCGCCATCAAAATGAAGGGGTCCCCCGACTCGGACTACGGCATCGTCATGGGTGACATGTGCGGCATCGGCGCATTGACTGCCAAGCTCAAGCCTTTCAAATACAGGTCTGGGCGCGACTTCTACATGATCGACTTCGACGCTGCGGCCCCGCTCAAGATGACTTACGTATTTGATCCATCGGAGTGGGATGCCCTGCCTTTGTCCTGGACGTCACCGCTGATGCAGTTTGTCGCGGAGGGGGGGCGCAGCTTGCCAGGTGGCATCGAGAAGTACTGCACGAGGCTCGAACCAACTGGGCCTGCTGACAGTCTGTTGCGAGTGGCTGCCAAGAACGCCTTTTGGGATCTGTCTGGGATTGTCAGTGTTGAAGACATTCCACAAAGACCTTTGCGTCGACCCCCCTGGCGGCCTCGACCTTTTCGAGACCTTGCAGGCGCTGGTGACGCACGTCTTGAAGCCGACAGATCTGGACCTGTGCGAAATCTTGCGGAAGCGTTGCTTCGTGAAGTTCGTCGGTGAGGACGGCTTGGTGGACATCCAGGGGGCGATGGATTGCATGACGAAGGAAGAGCAGGAGATGACGAGAGAGACGCTGCCTGAGAAGGACGCCCAGAAGCAGATCAGGAAGGAATACACCGCGAAGTTCAACGTCTACCGCAAGGAGGTGAAGGCGGTGCGCACTGCCGAGGCTGCCGATCAGAACCGCACCAAGCAGGAGCTGAAGAAGTGGAAGGGGCCAATCGAGCCGCCCAAGGACGGGATCGTGCACTCCGAGGCGAAGAAGTTCCTCCCACCTGGTGCGAGCCTGTGGAGGGGTCTCACAGGCACGGGCGCGTGGCACGTCCACATCCCCCCGCACTACAAGTCCAAGACGTGGCTCGAGGCTGGCAGCTACGACAACGCGCTCAGGTTCGTCCTGGCCTTCGCCTGGAAGAAGTACCTCAAGAGCAAAGACCTCGACGACTCGCACTGCCCGATCAAGGGCCTGCTGAAGCACTACACGGACGAGGAGGGGCAGGCGGCCACCGCAGCCGCGAGCTCGTCGAGGGGATGAGTGACAGCTCGCTTCACTTTTTTTTCTGCCGTCGCAGCTCCTTCCCCCTTCGTTCTCGCACGAGGGTGCCTCCAGACATAGATACGCCCAGCAGGGGAGAAACCCCTTCCCTCGCCCCCGCCCCTTCTCTGGTGAAAACGGGGATGCGACGGCACGAGGTTCGACACAATACCTTGTATTGTGGACTATGCCGCCCGCCACTGCCCAGGCATGACCACAGCTCCCAGCGTGACGTACGCTGGGAGCTAAGATTTCGATTAGGGTGGGCGGCACCGCCAGCATCGCATCATCGATTGCTGGTACGTGTTGTGTTGGTTCATGGCTGGTAGTTGGACGCACTGGCCAGCAGCAGGACGCCTGGTGCATCGCTCGTGCAAGATGGGACTCGTCCGTAGTTCGACCGTAGGTGAACACATAACTTAGCATATCATGATGTTGGTGCGTGTAGCGCACGACAGAGGGCAGAGGATGATATCGAATAGGAGGCGGGCCGTCGGGTCGCAACGAGGTCACGTGGGAGTTCAGAGGAGGGCGGATGGGGAATGAGGAGGGGTGGAGGGAAGGTACGGGGCACTAGATAATGAGGAATGTGGCGGCTGCGGGGGGGGAAGGTACGGGGCACTAGGAAATGGGAGGGGTGAGGAGGGATGGAGGGGAGATGCGGGGAAGGTATGGGGAATGAGGAGGGGTGGAGGGAAGGTACGGTGCATTAGAAAAATGGGAATGAAGAGGGGTGGAGGGAAGGTACGGGCCTCTTAGCCATCATCCCTCGTGACCTTGTCGTTCCCTTGTCCATCTGAGCTTGCTCTCCCGCCCCCTCCCTCTCCCTCGCCCCTGCCCCCCTCCCTTCCTGGCCAATCTCTCCCGTCCCTCATCGCTCCCGCCTGTTTCCCACCAGTCGTGCCCCCACTTCCGCTTAGCCATTTTTGCTCAAACCCCTCAGCGCTGAGAAGTGCGTTGGCGCCCGAGTCCGACAGCTGCCTCAGCTGCGCTGGGGTACGCGCGTTGGCGTAGAAATTACCCTGGTAGCGGGGCTGTGCTGGCACTCTGCCAGATCTTGTCGCGGGCCATCTTCCCCCTGGATTTGTTTGATGACCTCACGGCTGTTTTGAGCGGCTTTGGCGACTTGGCTGCGGTCGGGTTTCGGATCGGGCTTATGCCTGGGCCTTGGGGGCGTATGTTGCTGGTGTCGGGTTAGCTTTTGCGGCTGTGTGTTGCCCGTGTGGAGGGGGGCAAACGCTCGCTTCAAGCGGTGGCGCGGTGGTTTCAGACAGGCCTATTCGGGAATTTCACCCCCCCAACGGCGAGTGTATCTTGTTGAGGCAGTAGGGTCGCGGTTGGGTCGCGAGTGGGTCGTGGGCCGAGTCGCGGGTTGGACGACGACAACAGACATTTAACAACAGCAGCAGCAGCAACAACAGCAACAACAATCCGCACCGCGGAGCCCCACTTCAGCCACGCACCCAGGTACAGCGAATAACCGTTCGAAGTTCGGCATCCGAACTCTGATCACATGACTTCATGTAAGACCAAAATATGTCATCTGAAACTGCATTGCACGACCAGAGACCACGTGACACGACCAGAGACCACGAGACCAGAAAGAGCGTGTTCTACCGCCGCTGGCGGAAAACCGTGGGGGTCACTGGGGGTTCCCAACCCGTCCCCCCCGCCCCCCCCCTCGAAAACCAGGGGGGGGTACTGCCGGTTCGAAGCCCCCCCTCCCCAGTCCATCATGAAAAGAGGGGGGGTTGCTACAGGTTCGAACCCCCAGCCCTCCCCCGCGAAAACCAGGGGGGGTCACCGCCAGTTCGAACTGTTAAGGCCCAGTGAAGCGACCACCCCCCCCCCTTTAAGTTTCGTTCAGTGCGTCGCCCGAGCGTCGCCCGTGCGCCGGCCCTGGTTTGCGTCTCTGTCCCGAATCCCGGCCTCCCAGAGTGCGTGGGCGACATATGGCGCGACTTCGGAATTTCTCTGGCGATATATAGGTTTCCGACGCCGGTGCACCAACAGCCATTTTGGCTGTCGCGGCGCACTCCTAGTTCGACGGTCCACCAACGCGTTCTGTTCCCAATTCGGCGCAAGAGGATCTGGTGTTGCTCATTGTCGGGGGCGCCAACCGTTGCTGAGGACGAAGACGCCTCGCGTTGATTGGGGGCTTTGCGTGTCGCGCCACGGCGGGGGTGACGTCGCGTCGCGCGACGCGGCGCCACTTCGCCCCGTCGCATCGCGCCCCGCACCCCCATGTCGTTTCGCGCCAATCCTCCTGCCCCCCCCCTCTTCCTTCCTCTTCCCTTCGTCCAATGCGCTGCGCGTTTTGTCACGTTTGCGAAGTTTGTGCGCAGTTCTTTTGTGTCAGGCTGCCGTCCTCTCCGCCTCCCTACTCACCCCCCGTTGTCCTTCCACCCTCCTGGAATTTCTTCTCGCCCTCCTCGCTCTCTTCGCCTCCCTTCGATCCACTTCCATCGCTCCCGCCGCCGCTGCGCCGCCCCCGCGCGCCCCCTCCTCGCCCGTCCGTTCCCATTTCCGCCCGTCCTTCCCTCGCCTCACTTCCATCCTCTTTCCCCCCCCCCAATGCATCGGCGAGCGAGACGTCGCCAAATTGCTGCAGCGACGGACCGATGTTCAAAATCTGGCGGGGCTTGCGCTTGAAATGGATTAGTCCGTGCGCGCTGCATCTCCATGTCGTCTATTGGTCTCCTCGCGTTAACTAGTTCTCACGCGCGTGTCTCGCCATGTCTACGATTGCCGCGCGCATCCCCTGATTGTTTCGCCAGCGGGCCGTGCAGTTCACATGCCGTCAGGAGCCCACGGCGCCCTTCGAGCGATTCGCGCGCGACCTGCGCGCGACGCGCGAACGACCCGAGCGACGCCGAGCGACGCACGCGCGACGCGCGCGCGACGCGCGCGCGACGCACCCCGACCCGCGCGCGACGCACCCCTGCCAGCGCGCGACGCACGATCGACCCGCGCGACGCACGCGCGACGCGCGCGACGCGCGCGACGCACGCGCGACGCACGCGCGACGCACGCGCGACGCACGCGCGACGCACGCGCGACGCACGCGCGACGCATGCGCGACGCAGTCGCGACTTTGCCCGCCCCTAGCATTTCGCCGAGCAGCAATGCGCAGCGGCCGTCGGCCCGCCGTGCTTGCGCTGTTCACAAGTGGCGGCGGCTGCGTCCTCCATTGCGCCAGGAAGGGCGGTGCTTGCCCCTGTTATTTCCCTTTTCCTTCCTCGTCGTCCCTCCTCTTTTGTCATTCCTCCTCCTTCGTCCTCTCTCCTGCCTCGTCTCCCTCTCTCCTCCCCTTCTCCTCCTCCTTTCTACCGGCCCCCCTCTGTCTGTCCCTCGCCCCTCCTCTCTCGCCTTTGTTTTTTTTTGTCCTTTGCCACCCCGTGTCCCTCTTCATTTTCTTTTCTCCTTCGGCCCCCCTTCCACGGCCGCGGCGCGTCGCCGCGAGCGGCGCCCCCGCCTTCCGCGAACGGCCCCGCCGCTGGCGGTGGAAGAGGAAGATGACGAGGAGAACAGGAGGGGGGAGGGGCACTGGCGCGAGGCGGGCGCGGCGTCAAGGGCGGCCCGGCAGGGGAGTGGGGTGGGTGGGAGGACGGAGTGGGCGGGTGCTTCTGTAATGGTCATGTTGGTGATCATGGTCGTGGTCGCGTTCGTCGCCTTGGTCGCGTTGACGGCGGTCGCGCCGCTGGTGGTGGGCGGGCTGGTGGTGGTCACGTCGGTGATCGTGCTGGTGTCGGTCGTTGTGGTGGTCGCGAGAAGCGTGGTGGTCGTGGTGGTGTTTATGGCGGTAAATGGTGTTGGTCGTAATCGTCGCGGTGGATGTGGTTGCGGTCGCATCCGTTTGTGGTGATCGTGGCGGCGGTAGTTTTGGCGCTGGCGGCGTTTGCAGCGGCTGTGGCGGCGGCTGCGGGGACCTGCTGGCTTATCGCCGGGCTGCGTTCAGCAGCGTCGTTGCATTTGTAATGTTAGGGGGATTTGCTGATCTGCCGAGGTAGCCCAGCGGCCGCCTTCTTCTCGCCAAGAGGGCTGCAGCGCGGGCGACTTTATTTTTCCCGAAGGCGACCAGCCTTTCCAGCGGCCGCGGAGAGGGCGACGCGCGTGCGATCCGCCCCGTGGGTGTCCGCCGCGCTGGCGGCGCACTCGCCAAATATCCCCCTTGCGAGGGCGACGTGCACGTTCGAGAGGGCGGCTGGCCTTTTCGGCGGCCGACGCACGGGCGGCGCACGGGCGACGAATGCGCGACGCACCTCCTTTCGCGAAGGGGGGGGGGGTCAGCACGCCGGTCGCTTTACTGGGCCTTAACAGTTCGAACCCCCCCCCGCCGGCAAACGATTCCCGCTCCTCGGGATAGATGGACAGTGGTGGGGATACTGGGACAGTGGTGGGGACGGTGGTGGTGGGGACAGTAGTGTGGGGACAGTGGGACAGTGGTGCGGACAGTGGTGGGGACAGTGGTGGTGGGACAGTGGTGAGGGGACAGAGGGACAGTGGTGGGGGCAGTGGGACAGTGGTGGGGACGGTAGTGGTGGGGACAGTGGTGAAGGCGTTGGTGAGGACGGTGGTGGGACAGTCGTACAGTCGGGAGAGTGGTGGGGACAGTGGGGACAGTGGGACATATGGGGACAGTGGGGACAGTGGGACAGCACAGTGGGACAGCGGCGGGGACAGTGGGAACAGTGGGACAGTGGTGGGAACAGTGGGGACAGTGGGACAGTACTGGGGACCGCGGGGAAAGTGGGGAGAGCGAGACCGTGGTGGGACAATGGTGGGGAGAGTGGGGACAGTGAGACACTGGTGGGGGCACTGGTGGGGACAGCGGGAACAATGGTTGGAACAGTGGGGGCAGTGGGACAGAGGTGAGGACTGTGGGACAGTGGTTGGGACGGTGGTGGTGGGGACAGCGGTGTGGGGACAGTGGGACAGTGGTGGGGACAGTGGGACAGTGGTGGGGACGGTAGTGGTGGTGGGGATAGTGGTGAGGGCGGTGGCGAGGACGGTGGTGGGACAATGTGACAGAGGTGCAGTGGTAGGGACAGTGGGGACAGTGGGACAGCACAGTGGGACAGCGGCGGGGACAGTGGGAACAGTGGGACAGTGGTGGGAACAGTGGGACAGTGCTGGGGACCGCGGGGAAAGTGGGGAGAGTGGAACCGTGGTGGGACAATGGTGGGGAGAGTGGGGACAGTGAGACACTGGTGGGGGCACTGGTGGGGACAGCGGGAACAATTGTTGGAACAGTGGGGGCAGTGGGACAGTGGTGGGAACAGTGGGACAGTGGTGGGGACGGTCGTGGTGGGGACAGTGGTGTGGGTACAGAGGGAATGTGGTGGGGACAGTGGGACAGTGGTGGGGGACAGTGGTGGTGGGGACAGTGGTGAGGGCGGTGGCGAGGACGGTGGTGGGACAATGAGGTACGGTGGGGACAGTGGTGGGGACGGTGGTGGGAACAGTGGGACAGCTCAGTGGGAACAGTGGTGGGGACTGGGACAGTGCAACAGTGGTGGGGGCACTGGTGGGAACAGTGGGGACGGTGGTGGGAACAGTGTGGACAGTGGTGGTGGGGACAGTGGTGCTAGGGATAGCAGTGGGGTGTGTGGTGCAGGCGGAGGTGGGGACCCGGGAGTCGTTTGCCAGCGGTGAGTGGGGGGGGGGAGAGGTTCGAACCGGTAGTGATTCCTCCCCGGTTTTCTGGAGGGGTGGAGGAGGTTCGAACCGGTAGTGACCCCCCCAGTTTTCTGAAGGGGGGGGGGAGGGGTTAGCGGGCGGGGGGGGGTTTTGCCGGGGGGAAGGCGGGGTTTCAGCAGGGGGGGGATTTTCGAGAAGGGGGGGATCCTCGGGAGGAGTTTCCACAGTAAAGCGGCGGTGGATTACGCTCTCTCCGAGACCAAGACCAGAGATCACCATCCCGTAGCCATAGACATTTTGGCTCAAGCCGTGCGTCGCCCCCATCGGCTCTCCGCCCCCGACGCCGCCACAGCTACACAATGGCGGCCGCCACGCCCCCTGTGCGGAGCCCGCCCGCTGACGTTGACGACGCTGCCTCTCCAAAGGGCGGCAGACATGACGTGTGGGCCGCCATCGAAGAGCAGCTCGAAGATGAGCTGCACGAGGCCCACGCCACCATGGAGCACGTGGAGCTCTTGGCCACGGCCGAGGCCGCTGCGCTGCGCCGTCGCTCCGGGCGCGCTGGCGGGCGCCAGCTCGCCTCGTGCGGTCCAGGGCAGCGCCGATTGTGCCTGCACTTCCTGAGCGGGATGGCGCGGTTGGGCCAGAGCTCGCCGCAGTGCTTCTTCTGGGCGATGAACACGTTCGACGGCAGCTTCGCGGCGATCGCGGGCGAGGGGCCTCTCGAGGAGAACCGCCGCGTCCTCGCGAGCGCCGCGGCGGCGTGGCTCGTGGCCTCGAAGTGCGAAGGGCACGCGGCCCGGGGCCCAGCGACGGCGCTGCAGATCGTCACGCTGCACGCCTCGCAGCTCTCCGAGGCGATGGGCGGCCCCCCCATCCTCGCCGACGACGTCCGCCGGGAGGAGCTGGGGCTGCTGAAGGCCGGCCTGCCGAACCTGTATGAGCCGACGATGCTGCAGTGGATCGACCTGGTGCGCGCGCGCTTCGACGCCGTCTCCCGGCGCCGCGCCGTGGGCGTGTTCAAGGCCACGGTGCCATGGATGCACGCCGTTGCCGCCCTGGCGTTGCAGGCGAGCCCGCCGAGTGAGCAGTTCCCGCCGCGCGCGATGGTGGCGGCCACGTCAGGCCTGGCCCTCGTCGCGGCCGGCCTGCTCAGCGCGGACGCGTTGCTGCCAGCCTACATGACTGACGCGCGCTGGCAAGACGCCCTCGACCAGGTCCTGCAGGAACCGGAGGAGCGCCTCAGGCACGTCGATCCCCGTTGTTTGGAGCCGACGGTGGCACGCGCCGCTCTGGAGTACGCGACGGGCCTTACGATCGAGGAGGTGCGAAACTACGTGCCGTGCGTGGTGATGTTGGCCATCGGGGCGCGCAAAATGCAGCAGCAGCAGCAGCAGCAGGAGGAGCAGCACAAGGCGGCGAAGTAGGAGGCGCCTTTCCGCCGACCGCCCCTGGCAGCAGGGCTCCTCTCACCGCCCTGCCCGTCGTCGAACTCCGCGTTCGAGACGGACCACCCCAGCTGCCTAAACGGGCAGCCCGAGTCGCAGTGGTCCTCCTCCACCACATGATCTCATCCCCTCCGCCGCCGCCCAATGACCTCACCCGGATCCAATCGGTGCAGGACGTCTCCAACATGCTGAGTTGCGCATAGGGTTATCTTTCAGGTGTTGGGTCTGGAACCTTCTGGGGGAGTGCCCAAGCGACTATTTGTTGACGCAGATAGGTCAGTCGAACTGTTTTCCGCAGCACGAGCAGACGCAGCATCCAGCGTGCCTGACTTGCCATGCGCAGTTGGGCGACCAATGTATCCTCGAACAAGGGTTTCCTTTTTCAATGTCTGAAGCAGTTTCGGTGGGCAAGAGGACAGCTTTTAAAAGCCTCTCCTTCCCTTGCTGCGCTGACCAGGGCGGCCATGAGTGTATTCCTCCTCCTCCTCCTCCTCCTCCCCCTCCTCCTCCTCCTCCTCCTCCTCCTCTTCCCCGTTCCCAGCCCCACCCCCCGTCCCACACTGCACTGCTTGCACTCTCCTTTGGCGTGCGGCTGCTGCCGCGAATGATCGGGTCGTGGCCACGATCGCTCGGGAAGTGGCGAGGCGGGCGCTGCTGGCCCAGTCGGCTCGCTTGCGTGAGCTGGCGGCTCGGGGGGGCCCCCACTCCTCGTCCTCCTTCGCGTACTCCTCCGAGTGCTGCTGCTGCTGCTGCTGCCGCCTCTTCCTCTTCCTCGGGGCCCCCCCAGCCATTCCGTTTGGGCGAGAAGCAGATCCTGGAAGCAATCCCTGGAGATTGCCGCAAGTTTCATTGCCCAGGGACGGCGTGCTTCAAAACCAGAACCGCGGGCGAAGCCTCGGGGACAGATTTTCATGCAATTATTTATGCAATTATTATCGGTCTGCGAGTTTGAGCCGCGCCGCCGACCCCCTCGAACGCGTTGATGCCCGCGTCTCGTGGTGGGTTGGGGCCCGAGCATTCGCCCCGTGCCTGCAGAGGCTGCATGCCCTGCGAAGCTGCCTGCGAAGGCCACTCGGGGACCCACTTTTTGTTCGAGATGCGCTGACAAGGCGATCGCGATCGGTCCCCCAGAGCCATTCGAGTTTCCCCCCAGAGTCATTCGAGTTCGAGTTCTGCTCCTCCTCCTCCTCCTCCTCCTCCTCCTCCTGCCCCTCGATCCTGACAGCACCTATCCGGGGGGAGCCCACCGTTTCCAACGCGTGTATGGTGTCACGACAGCATCTCAGCAGGCTCGAACATACCGCGCAACGAGTTGTAGTTCCGGGTGTGGTCTTCCTTGCTCGGGCAACGGCTCGGCACGAGGGCCATCCATCGCGATCGGCCCGCAAAGCGGGCGACTGTGATGCCGATGTGCGCACGTGAGTTCTGAGCCGTGCGCTGTCCCAGCGCCGAAGTGAGATGTGGCCGTCCCCTCGCACGCCTGAATATCAAGTCCTTGAGTCATTTAACTGGACTTGCGCCAAACTGGTCAAAGACTCCTGCTCCTCCTCCTCTCCCTCCTTCGTCTCCTTCTCCACCTCTCCTTCCCCCTCCCCACGTCTGCTGTACGATAGCCATTGCGCATGAGCCAGCCCGAGGCCTGGACCCTTTGAAGCCTGCCCCAACCTTTTGCGGCAGTGCGCTTCAAAGCGCTTGGGCTCTACTTTGTTGCTCTATGCTACGGTTCTATGTTTATTTTCTGCCCGTGGAACTCGAGGCGGCTGATGTTTTTTCTGGCAGTGCTCCAAGCAAAAAAACATCATTGTGGCTGATGATGTGTTGTTGCAGCTTCCTCATACGTGCTTGCGTTTGGGCAGCAACGTCGCAGTTGGCACAGCTGGAAGAGGGGCGGGAGGAGGAGGAGGACGGTTGTCGCGGGCAGGGCCATTCCGAAAATAGCCCGCGGGGGAACAAAAACAGAGACCACCATCCACGGATTCGGGATCTGGCAGACCACTCGCTGGCCCCAGATGGTTCGTTAATAGGACGCTTGCACACACTCTGCCGATGGAACTGAGCTCTGCGGTGCGCTCGCAACATCACATTTTCTCCATGGTGTTCGCAGGCTCTCCGTGGCTCTCGCTTTCTTTCATGGTCTGGCAGACGTTTGCGCTTGCGTGCGTTCTCAAACTCGTTGCGGTGCTTGAAGGCCCGTGGTGTTGCTCCAAATCTATTGTGTTATTGACTCCCTATGCATTTGAGACTCTGGTGGTGATACCGTGGTACTGCCATGGACAAGGTTCGCTCGCCGTCTGGTGCCCGGAGGCGTTTCGGGACACTCAGGCGCTACGTGGTCATCGCAGGCTGTTGTGGCGCTCACACGCGCGTGCCACAAAGTGACGCTGCTCTGGAACTTTGCACTCTTGCCAGGCTGTGAGGTCTGCGCTCCGGCAGTGCAAATGCACGATTCTGCTTCTGGGCGTGCGTGCAGCTGTGACTGCAGGCCTTGGGTGTGCTGGCGCGGCGCCCGCGCCTCGGGGCGCCTGCGCCGCGGCGCCGGCAGGGTGCTCCCGAACGCCACGGAGTGCTGGCGAGCACCTCAACGTTCCGAAGAGCACCACGGTGCGATTGCGACCCGAAGACGTCGAGCGCAGCTTCCTCCTGCCGTTGCCACAGCAAGCTGCCAGCGTCGTGAGGAATACCCACTGATAGCTAGGTCTATCTAGGAATATACATGGCATCTTGATGCGAGCATAGGAGTTGGCCGTGAACATTGGAGACGGCAGAGCATTAGTAATGTAACTATCTCGGCATACAGGAATCGCTAGAGTAATTTGGAACTTGACAGCAGCCATGATCAGTAAGGAATTGCGAACAGCTCATCAGACCAAACTAGGCGTACCTAGTGCACGCTAGGAAGAGTTATTTAAGAATAGCTGGGGATTCATTCGGCTATGCCTAGGCATCCCGAGCAGGTCCCTACGTACATGCGAATCCGAGCTGTCCTTCCCTATTTCTTATCATTCCCAGACCCCGCCCGTACGAATCGTGACCTATTCCTAGTCATTCCCAGACCCCGCCCGCACGAATCGTGACCTATTCCTAGTCATTCCCAGACCCCGCCCGCACGAATCGTGACGTTGTTGGCGGCGAGGGGGCGGGGGACCGTTAACGACTGCCATTTCGAATCGTTCATAACGCGCTCTTGGATCAATCTCTGGCGGACCCCGGGCCGGGGCCCGAAGCAGGCCCCCTAAAGCCGAGATCGAGGCACAAACACCTCTGGCCGGCGCGACTCTATTCGATCCTCCCACCCCGCAGTAGCCGCCACGAAGACGACGGGTCCTGAGGAAAAGCGTCCCACAGGTCTCCCGCCGCGTTCGAGCTCAGGCCCCTCGGCTGGCCCTCGGACTGTCAAAGAACGTCCCAGGATCCAGAGCAGGTCCCCGAGGAAGGCCCCAGGACCCCATCCCCTCCTCAGGACCCGTGTCCTCCATTGTTTTGTCGGGGAAGCGCGGTCCTCTCGCCGCGCCCCCGAGGCGCGGATTTTCTGGGGGATCGACCCCCAGGCGGTGGTGGCGGAGCAGTCCGGGCCTCGCACCTCCGCTGCGCAAAGGAAGCCCTCGGGCGCGTCCAGGATCGGGGCACATCGTTCTGGAACGTTCCGGAGCGCTCTCAGAGCGAACCGGAGTGCTCAGGAAGGCCCGCTGCGCCCGATACATTCCTCTGAGCCGCCAGATCTCAGCGATCTCCGACTTCATTGTCCTAATTTGATGTCGTCCTGGTCCTGGCTTGGTCTCAGCGGTCCTCGCGCCGTGCGCACCCCCTCCGCCGCGCAGAGGAGGCCCTGTCGCGAAGGCGCTGCGCGCAGCTGGCGGAGTCCGCTGGGCTGGCGCCGTCGGGCGCGCCGCTGTGTGCCGCCCTGGCCGACATCTGCACGAGCGGCCGCTGCGACGCGGTCGCGGTGGACGCGGGGGGGGCAGCCCGCGCGTGGACGGAGGAGGCGACGACGACGACGACGACGACGACGACGACGACGACGACGACAGCGACGGCGGCGACAGCAACGGCGGCGGTGGTGGCGGCGGCGGCGGCGGCGGCGGCGGCGGCGGCGGCGGCCGCCACCGTGCTCGCCGCCGAACGCGACGACCAGGGCCTCGGAGGGGCGCGGCGGAGGGGGGCAGAGGATGGTTGCACGGATGGTGGTCGAGAGAAGCTGCAGTCTCAGGATCAGCAAAGCCACGCGCTTCCCATGTCAGCGGGAGTGTCTTGTGATGCTGGCCTTCTTTCCCAACCATCCAGTGGTGTTGGATCTTCGTTTCGAAGAGATAGCGGCCCGCGTCTTCTTTCCTCCCCTCCTCCATCCTCCCTCTTCATTCCTCTCCATACGTTTCGTGACCCCCTCCTTCGTCTCACCTGCCTCGCGATAATCACAGCTGCATGTAGTTGGATCCGTCGTCAGCATAGTTTCCGTTTTTCTGAGACATGGCCGTCGATGCCAACACATGGGATGTTTGCACGGTTCCATGCCGCCCACAGGGGGTCGACGTCGATGGATGGGGCGGTTGGATCACGCCGCATCGCCGATGCATCGGCGATTCGGTTCGATATGGAGTTAGGTTTTCTCCATGTTTACGCCGCTGGTACATCGCCGAAGTTGCCGATGCATCGCCGATGCATCGTCGATGCGGCGAGATCCCCCGACACATCTTTTCGGGCCCCAGCGTCAGCATCGTCCAACCGATCCCCGGCCCCACTGGGCCCATGATAGCTCAGCCCCGTCGGCCCCCCCCCACATCAGGTGGGGCCTGGTCCCGCGAGGCCCGAAGGGAAGCACAACACGTGTTCCCACATGGGGGGTGAGCCGTCCAGTGGGGCAGAGAACATGGCAGAGGGAATGGGGATCGGTTAAAGGATGCTCGGCATCGAAAAAGAATAGACTGCATACACATAAACTTTTGGCGGTCCGCGCGAAGTTCTTGGATCTGCGCTGGAGCGCCCTGGCGGCGCCTCAGGCGCTGCCCCTGGCGCGCTCCGCGCGCCAAAAAAACAGGATCCAGCGCGGAACCAAGACATCCGCGCGGAGCGCTGAACGTTCATGTGTTTGCCGTTTTTGGAGTTCGGTTCAGTCGGTGTGGTTGTGCCGCAGTCGGTTGTGTTCGGTCGGTTTGGTTCGATCGGGTATTTTGTCGTTGCTGCGGTTGTTGTGTCGCTGCTGCGTCGATTCGTCCTTCTAGGTTGCCTACGGCCTGTCGGTTTGGCCCGTTTTGGTTTCCTCGTCGGTCGGTCGTCGCCTGTGTTGTCGTCGCGGCTGGTTTTGGTTTCCCCAACATTCGCAAGTTCTTTGAGGTCTCCGGAAGTTCGCAGAAGTTTTCGGGGGTTGCCAGAGTTTCTCAGGTTTCGGGGTATTTTCCATTAGCCGCGCTTTGTCTATAATTTTTCGGGGGGGCCAGTGTCATCCTAACGGCCGCTGTAAACCCCAGTCATGACTTGACCGCCTAAAAGCAGGAGGGCTCTGCGATACAAGCGTCTTGACACATTTCGGCTGTTTTTTGGCCTCAGAAACTTAACGGATCGATCTGGCACGAGAGCCTTTGCCGTAGAGGTAGGGATGGAAGGATGGAAGTAGGGAGGGAATGAGGAGGAGGAGCAGGAGGATCAGGAAAGAGGGGAAGGAGGAGGAGGAGGAGGAGGAGAAGGAGAAGGAGAAGGAGAGGGGGTGAAGAGGACGAGGGGGATCCTCCTCCCCTGAAGTTGTCCGGAAGGTCTCCCGCCCCTTCCGCGTGCTGTTTTTTTTTTTCCTGTTACGCACACCGGATTTCAAACGTTGGGCTGTCTTATGATTTGTGTCACGATCCGCGTGTTTTTTGTTTTTTGTTTTTTTGTTATCATGTTTTTTCCAACATGATGCTACCGCTGCAGCATGGGCCTCTTTTTTCGGATTGGCGCTTTGCTCCCGTTGTTCAGAATGGCGCTGTCGCCTGAGCGTGGGCCACTTTTCTGGATCCGCGGCTTGCTTCATTGCGGCCCCCCCTCATTTCCCCTCCTCCGCCTTCTCCTGGTCCTCCTTGAAAAGTGGGAAACCGACCCCAGCCCCCACAACTATGGATTTTACATCTCAGCGTTTTGCAATTTACGGCGAATGAGCGTACGTGATGGCGCCCTGTCGGCGAGACCGCTGCCAGCTGCCGCTCGGGGGGCCCCGCGTGCGCGGCGACGTCGTGGGCCCGCTCGACGCGGCCGCGCCCGCGCTGGCATTCCCAGGGCCGCGCGTGCCACGGCCGCGGCATGCAGTTTGAGGCGACGGCGGCACTGTCCCTCGCACGGCAGCGCCGCTGGCCCAGCCGAGGGCTCCCGCACCCGCCTCCGTCGTCGGAGAAGTTTAGATCGGGAGCGTTTTTCTTATCGCAGCTGGTCCAATGATTTTTCCCTGTGCATATGTAAACACAGGTCTCTGTTTATATATACGATTCGGGGCTCTCCCGCGCGAGCTTTTCTGCATCGGAGAAGTTCTGATGGGTTCTATTTGGACTTTATATAAATTTTGTTTCGCCTGGTGCCTAAACTTTGCTTTGGGTGGATCTAAGCTTTTCGATGCGCGCCCGTGCGGGGCGGGGCCCGGGCGCCGCTTGGGGCTCCTGCCAGCGCCGCCAAGGGCCGACGCGCCCTCTGGTCTGTGCGCTGGCACGAGCGCGCGAATGTCAAAACTGATTCTGGGCATCGACCGTGTGCCAGCACAGGGAAACGCCATGTTCAAACGCCAGTGAGCATAGCGGCACTGCGCCGTTCGCATTGAATTGCGCGGCGTTGTCGTTGACCGACCGTCGAGCAGTTTCCGCTTGCAGTTCGCGCGTCGCTCGACGGTCCCACTGGTCTAGAGTTTTGCGCGTGGGGGACGGGGGGGGGGGGGTCATGCGTTCGCTCCTGCTCCTCCCGTTCCGCCCACCCACTCCAGTTCCTGTTGCTGCTGTTCGTTTCGCCCCAGCGCGGGCCACTGACCTGAACCCGGGTTTTTCTTCATATTTGTCTCCCCCCTCAAATCCATTCCGCCGCTTTCCCTTGGTCCTCCTCATCCTCCCAATCCGTCCGCTTCAGTTCCCGCTGCTGTTGTTCGTCATAATCCTTTTCCTCCCGCTCATTTTCCTGTTGACGCACCACTCCCATTTCCTCCTCATCCTCCGCCTCTTGTGCACGCTAGGCCCTTTCTTCCCGATTCCGCGCAACACGAGTCACTCTGTCTATAAGCGTAGTAAACTGATGTGGCACGCGTCCGCAGGTAAAGACATATCAATACCATGGGAAAAGATGGGGGGAGCGTCAGGAAGTCAGATGAAGCGCGGGCGCACCTAGCTCGTCAGACCTCCCTATCCCCCTCTTCCCTTTCCCCGGGTCGGCGCAAATATGGACTAAGGCCCGTGGAGTAGCCAGCTTGAAAACTCAAGAAATACATTCTTGGGGTTTCAATCCGACGTCGGTTCCCCCAAGTGTTTTGATAGTAAGACTACGGCTATGGACTTGAAATTTTCACTGAACATTTGGGCTTGCAAATCGAATTGCCAACTCTCTCACAAGATTTGCCCATCCGACCCAAAGTTCACACCATCATTCTTGCAGAATCGGCGCGCACTGGCGCCAAATCAGGCGATACTGGCCGTATGTTTGAGGGGTACTGTCTCCGATTCATGGATCTGGCGCGTGGGCGCCAGATCCATGGATCCGGAATCCATATGCACCCGATTCTCTCAATTTCATCCTTCCTCTCCTCCTCCGAAGCGGCGACGTTCACGACGGCGACCGACCCCGCGACCGACGGCCGGCCAACCGACGACCCGCCGACCGAGGACCGACCGACCGACGACCGACCTTCTGACGGACCGACCGACGGACGGACCGACCGACAGACCGGTCGACTGACCAGCCTACGGCGACTTGCGGGAGCTCGCCGCCTCCCCGCCCCCACGGCGGCAGGTGGTGTACCACCCGAGCGGCCGGCGCGAACCAGTAGAGCTGGCGCGCCCGGAGGAGCCGCGGGGTCGGGTGCTGTTGGAAGTGGCCCTGGCCTGGGGTGCCCTCAGCCTGTCGCTCCCCTCTGGAGCCCTTGGGGCCCTCTGGGCCTCGTGAAGGGGTGCTTCGGAGGCCGCCTGGGCCACCCCGAGAGTGCTGGGGGCACCTTGGGCCAGGGCCGCTGCTAGCAGCACCCCGCTGGGGGTGGTCCCGCGCCGCGCCGCGTGCGTGCGGCCTCGGCCCACTTCGTGGGCGAAGGAAGCTCTAGGCCTCCCACATGGAGTCCGAGCAGGTGGGGTCGAAGGATGGTCGCGCCGTATCACCGATGCATCGCCGATGCGCCTCGATGTGGAGGCTGATGTTCTCCACGCCGACGTCGCCGAGGCATCGGCGAGGCATCGGCGAGGCATCAGCGGTGCGGCGCGATCATCTGACGCCGTCTATTCGGACCCCATCCGGGAGGCCTCTAACCTGCGCCAAGACGCATGTGTGCGGCCACGGTCATTCTCGCGGGCGGCAATAACACATCCGTACCCACGGCCTTGCGGTCTGGGCCCCCTGGGCCGCGACCCCACAGGTACGGAGTATTTTTACGCGGATGCCCCGCGCAGAACGCATCCGTGCGACCGCGTATCCGCGGGAGTGCGCCCCGGAATCCAGGACATGGACACGTTCGCGGCCCGTGACCTCTGTCGGAGGTGGACCTAAACAAGCGTGACTTTTTGGAGGTCCGCATGGATTCATCGGATCCGCGCTGGGCTCCCTCTGGCGGGGCCTCCGGCTTCGCCCCTGGCGCGCTCCGCGCGCCAGCGCAAGACGAGGGGCCAGGGGACGAGGAGGAGGAGGAGGAGGAGGAGGAGGAGGAGGAGGAGGAGGAGGAGGAGTGGAGTGGAGCACACCGAAAAGTGGACGAGTGCACAAGCCCCCGCCGCCCTTGGCCGCCCGCGATCGCCGCGGGCGAAGCGGCGCGCCAAATGCGCGGCGCTGGGCCGAGGGCCCCACCGACAGGGGGACGTGGTGGGTTCAGCCCTCGGCCCAAAAGGCCAGCGGCGGGGGCTCACGCCCAGCTCGTCCGTGGCGAGGCGGCCCCGCCCCGAGGCCACGCGCAAAAGGCGACGCGCGCCACTAAAGGCAGCAGCGCCGAGAAAAAAAGCGAGAGCCGTACCCGACGCGCGCCAGGGGCGCCACATGCGCCAGGAGGCAGCAGCTAAGCCGGTAAACCGCCCTATAAGCCCGTTCTGACATTCCGAGGCCTCAGATAACGACAGTGCCGCCTCGATCAGCCACCCGAGGGGCACCACTCCCTCAGGGACAGCCCGCCCCCACGCACGCCACGGCGGGGGACCGTGACCTTGGGAAGAATGGACGGGGATCTTCCGATGAACCCCGCATAGGGGACCCGCGACACCACCCTTGCCCCAGCGGAGTACTGGGAGGGCCACGCAAGGGTGTCGCAGCAAAACGTGGCAGATCCACAACCCAGGTACGGGGCACGGAAGGAAAAGCCGCGCAATGAGACCTTGGACTGGCCCCGCCCGCCACAAGGACGAGTCGGGCACAGCCCCGAGACCCCAGGCGCGACCCTTCCCCCGCGGCGCAGGCTGGGACGGCCTGCGACTATCTTTTTTTATTTTTTTTCCGCCAGGGTCCCGAAGGAACACCTGGGGTGACGAACGCGAGGCAACCCGCCTGTTTTCCTGGGGAGGGGTCCCAGTGGCACAGGTGCCAGGAGGAGGAGGAGGAGGAGGAGGAGGAGGAGGAGGAGGAGGAGGAGCAGCAGGCAGGGGGCAGCAGGACCGGGGAGCCGCTTGGGCCGGGACCCTGCCTGCTCACCAGAGCATGGGCCGCAGCGCGCCGAGCACGTGCTCCGCGGCAGCAGTCGGCGGCGAGCAATGGGAGGAAGTGCGAAGGGGCGGACCTTCTCAGAAGGCTCGGAAGTCCCCCGGCCTTCGGAGAAGTTTCCTGAGCCTCCCCCGAAGACGCTGACCACTAATCAGATGGCCAGAGAGGGCTTCTGAGAAGCCCCGCCGCCTACTGAGGACCTTCTCCTCACTTCCCCCCGTCGCTCGCCGCCGAAGGGAGGCGGGGGAAGCGCACGCGGCCACCCAGCCGAAGCAGCTGGGCGGCATCCGCCGCCTCCCGCGCCCTGCGCAGGCAGACCGCCCACCTCCGCGGACGCCGCCCGCGAGGGCGGGCCGCGCGGAGCGGCAGCAGGCAGCCCCGCCGCGTCTTCTGCCCACGGCGCTCGCCGCTCTCGGCGCGCAATGGAGGGGGGCCGCCAGCGCGACCTCTCCCCCCTGCCCGCCTTGGTCTCGGAGCGCTGCAATTTTGACGAGGTCCCTGTGAACCGTTGCGTGGTCCGCCGTCGCCTTCGCGCTGCCCACGCTGATCGGTGGGCTGCTGAGGGCGTGGGCGCGCTGAATGATATGTATGGCAATTTTGGTCCCAGCTCTGGCGTCAGCCTCAATGCAGGTCAGCGACTGGCCCTGGACCACGTTCGCCACTGCGACCGGCGGGTCGGCCGACCTCCCCCAGACCTCGATTCAGGACAGGGAGCCCTCAGCGCGCTCCTGTCAGGCGCGCCCGGCTACACCAGTGGTGGCGGGCCCGTCGCTCTCTACGACGGCGAGAAGATCGCCTGGCCTTCCTCCTCGAGCCAGCCGATCCCGCTGGCCGATTTGCTTGGCGATGTGGACGCCTTGTGGCTTAGGGCTTAGAAGGGGCACGTGCTGCGCCCGTCCCAGGCTGCTCGGAGCCTCCGCGCGGAGTCGTGCCCTCGGGGCGCGCGCGTCGACCCGGTGCTGAAGCACAACGTTCAGGAGGGGAAAAAGCACACCGACACAATTAATCGTCGCCTCCCAGGAAAATATGGGAAAATATGGGAAGTGGGGGGGAAGACAAAAACCCAGAAAATATGGGAAAATATAGGGAATCTTTTTATTTGTGTGTATTTATTTGTGTGTCCCAGTTTCCCTTCAGACGTTCGTGAACACGCTACCCTTTTGAGAGAGGCCTGGCCCCGTGGAATGCTGACTTGGAAGCGTGGGCACAGTGGGGACCTCGGGCTGTTTTTCCTCAGGCGCAAAGATGGGCGCCTCAGGATCATCTTCGACACGGGAGTCATCAACTGCGACTTCGCGGCTGCACCTTCGACGCGCCTGCTTACTCCTTCGGCTTTCGGCGCACTCGAGGCGGACGAGAAGGTCTTCATCGCTTCGGGTGATTTGGAGGCCGCTTTTTCGACCACATGCTGGTGCCGGCCGACATGGTCCCACACTTCTCCTTGCCTAGCCTGGACGCGGGGCTGCCGCTCAACTGCGGGGTCACCGACTTGCCAGCTGGCGCGGGGAAGCCCATTGCGCCCTGTCTGCGCGTGCTGCCCATGGGGTTCTCGTGGGCCCTTCATTTGTGCCGGAGCGCCCTGCGGCGCGGCATCAGCCTCGGCGGCTTCCCGGCGAGCAGCCTCGTCGAGGACGGCCAGCCCGGTCGACAGGTGCGACGGGGGGCGCCCTTTGTGGCGGCCGGCTACGTGGACAACTTCTCTGTTCTGGGCACGGAGGCTAGCGGCGCGAACAGCCACTGCGACCGCGTGCGCCACGAGCTCGAGAAGCTGGGCCTGGTGGTGCACGACCGGGAGCCGACCAGCCACGATGCCGAGCTTCTGGGTCTGAGCCTCACGGATGGCCGTTTCTTGGCTGTCAGGCCGAAGTGCCTGGGGCGGCTCGGGCTGTCGATCGAGAAGCTCCTCCGTCCGCATTGGCAGGTGCAGCGGGGCGCTCATGAAGGCGCTGCTCGGCCACGTCACCCGGTCAGCGCTGCTCAGGCGGGAGGCCCTGTACAAGCTGCAGGCGTCGTACGCCTTCGCCGCCGAGGCCGGCAGCCAGCCGCTGGGTCTGCGGCGCTCGGTGCGTGAGGAGCTATGGCGCGTGAGGTGCCTCCTTCCTCTTTTGCAGGCCGACGTGCTCGCGCCGCGGCATGGGCGGGTGGTCGCCTCCGACGCCTCCGAGTTCGGGCTCGGGCTTGTTCGGCGCCGCCCCCCGACCGGCCGCGTCGCGGAGCTTGGGCGTCAATCCGAGCACCGAGTCGAATGGGGGGCGCGAGCCCGTGAAAGAGCACTCCGTCACCTCGACTCTTCATCACCTCCTCTTCCGAGTTTCTGTTCAACGAGATCTCCGAAGGCCCTTTCCTGAACGTCTCGCATTCGACGAGATTCCTGGAGATGTCCTGGAGGCTTCGTCTTGGGCTGGGGTTCGCGCGTCCCAGATCAACCCGCGGCGATGGCTCCGGGTGGCGCGGGCGAAGAACCGGCGCGCGCCAGGGCGCGCACGAGAGGGCCAGCAGCGGCGCCGCCGTGCCGTGCCTCGGGAAACTGTCGTGGGCAGCGGGCGCCTCTGCGCGCGCCGATCGCGCCGCGCCAGACGGAACGCGGCGATGACGACCTGAAGACCATGGTTCTCGGGGGCGTTGCGGAGGAGTAAAAGCGCGTCATGTCGTTGTCGAAGAGCGCGCCTCTGCTCAAGGGGTTCAAGGACGAGGGCTCGTACCCCGTCGCAGCGGGCAAAGGGGTCGTCGTCGCAGCCATCGAGAAACTGAGCCGCACGGCAGAGGGTCGCTACTTAAGCTCAGTTCTTCCTACGCGCGCCACCAAAAGGGCCGCGCCCGCCGAGGTCATCGCAAAGGGCGTTCACCCGCATTGCAGGGGCAGGGGGTTGAGCCTCAGGAGTCTGGGCGCGACGATTAATGCACGTGGCCCACGACGCTCTCATCGAGCCCGACGTGCGTCGGCAGCGTGGTCGCGGTCGTCGTTGTCGTCGTCGTCGTCGTCGTCGTCGTCGTCGTGGTCGCCTTTGTCGTGGTCGTCGGCTCGGGGATGTCTCGACCGAAACGTCTGGTTTCACGCGTCCAGGTTGTCCGGGCAGATGTCTAGCATGAGGGTTCGTTGAGGAGGTCTCGAGCGAAACGGTTGTTTTCGCGCGCCCAGGCTGCCCAGGCAGATGTATAGCATGGGGGGTGGTTGAGG